CACTTTATTAAGTCCCTCTGAAGTGTTAGTTATATGCACCGAAAAGTAGATGTAAATAGATGTGCTTGTACCCAAAAATAGAACTGAGCTTAATATGTGTAGTAAGAGTTGCTTCTTGAAAGGTAACTGATTTAAGATCTTCCTGAATTTAATTTTGTTGTATCTGTTTCTTTTTTCAACTATTGAATCACTGAATCCTACAGTGAAAAATTAGAACAAAGCAATTAGCAATTAGGATTGTGATGTACTATTAATGATACCAATATGAATATTATTACTACTACTAAGAGCCAACATTTACTGTATTTGGCATAGGGCCCCAGAGGGATGGTGGTCAGAATATGTTATTCTTGTTCTGTACTAGACGCTCATGTGCAGCTCACTGAACCTCAACGTATTCCTAAGGCATATACTGTTAACAACCCTGTTTCATAGATTGAGAAACTGAGGCACAAAAAGATAAAGAGAAAATGAGCTAATCAGTCTGCAGTCCTACACAGTCTGGCTTAAGAATCCCTGTCTTTTGAGATTGCCTTTCAGTATAGAATTTACTTACATCTAAGAGTGATGGCATCTTCTGAGAGTTATTACATCCATAACTGTTCCCAGTTCTGTTTATGTCATAGAGAAATATAGACTGTTAATTCCTAGAGACTTTTAAAAATTATTTCTAATAATATAATGTTTGAACTCATAGAAAAGGAGATAAAAACTGGAAATTATCAAAAGCATCCTTAAAAAAAGTCATTGTCAAATGTGCTAGCCCAGAGTCTGTTTGGCCCACATGCTGGCTTATGTCCCAAGTGGCTGCAAACTGCCTTTTGTGGATTCCGGTGTCCCCTGATTTCTAGCTGGGTTCAGCCGGTGAGAGACAATGGGGTGGGGGGTGGGGTTTAGGGAAGAAGAGGAAAAGAGAGGGCTGGTGGTGCAAAGAGGGGATGAGGAGGGCTGGGGGTACAGCAAAGGCAGCATCTCTTTTATGCATCCAGCGCTCCCCAGACAGGCCCAACCCTAGGCTTCAGTAGCACTTCTTCCCTGCTTTGTACTACCGTGGCTTTCTGCTGTAGCTAATCCCTGGGTTACCTCACCGCCTCCTGTTTGGGTGTCTCAGTTCTTCATGACCTGTGTAACCAGCTTATCCCCTGCGTTAAATTTCCTCAACTAGATATGCTTAAATTGTTTCTGTCTGCCTAGTTGAACGCTGACTGGTGCAGAAGCCATTTTCATTTTCCATTTGGTATGATTATAAAATAGGCTAGAGAATGCTATTGGCATATTATATCCAGATTTTGACAGATAATCGTATGTCCTTGTGAACAAAATAGGAATTTAGTCTGGATTATAAATTCTTAGATTGATACACTTATTAATGTTCAAGTCAACCTGATGAGCAGGCTCTAGAGGTTTACCAGAAGGCTCTGTTTTTGGTCATGTCCTACTCAACATTATTACCAAAGATCTGGATGAAGACATAAAACAGCTTTTATCAAATGTGTCCATAACAAAAAGCTGATAGACAATTTAATTCAAATTGTGAAAGGTTAAACTTTATAAAGAAAATGGAAAAATCTTGTATCTAAGTATAAAAAATATAAAGATATAGCATGGGAGAAGCCAAGCTTCCCTTTATGCGGGTAAAAAAATCCAGGATTTTAATTTACCACAAGCCCCACACAAGCCAGAAGTATACCTGTGTTTAAAAGGGGTTTGGGGTGGGATTTGTCTTTAGGCCTCATTGGAAGATTGGTGTCCTAGTCAATTGACAGATAGTTCTACTTGTCTTCAGGAACATTGCAGGAAGGGTAGGAACTTACTCTAAAAAAGATAGTGCCAGCCCTGGCTGGTTTGGCTCAGCGGGTAGAGCAACCTGGAACATTGTGCTAGAAGAAGGGCCTTGTGGGAACACAAAGTCTGTCTTCCAAGATTTGAAACTGTCACATGAGAGAAAGAGTGGATTAATTTACATGGCTTCAGGGAACAGTTAGGACTGAGAGAGTGATAGATTTTTGCTCCATATTTTAAAATTTTCAAAAGAAGTACCCTCTCCTATGGTCATTGCTTTTGTGCAAAAAGCTGGATAACTAACTCTCAGGAATATAGTAGTAAAATGAATTTCTACATTGGGAAGAATGTTAAATAGCTCTGATTTGGTTGTTTTGGGTTTCTATGTTAGTGAGATTTGTGGTTTGTAGTTTTTGATTAGGAATTGTTTTATTTTTTCACTTCCAGGAACATAATTGTTTTTCTTATAATTTAGGATTAACATACTCTATTTGTGTGGGGAAAAAACGTTTAAGAGCCTGAAACAAGGAAGTAAAGCATGACTGGCGCTCAGTGTAATTAACTTCACAAGAAATATTATGCTATTTCCCAGAATATGTCCCCAGAGTGAATGTATGCATTTGTTCCATTTCATTCCTATCAGGGGTGATGAGGAGAATATTTTGAAATATATTGAAGCAGAGAATAGTGTTTGCAAAGTGTTATTAGGTTTGATAAGATGAACTTGTGCAAATGCAAACTGTTGGCATATAGCTGTAAAAACCAGCACCTATATGCTAAAAGTTCCCTGAGATGACTTATTAAAGGCCATCAGAGTGATGGTAATTGAAAAATCATACCATTTACCTTGAGAATGCCTTTATAATCTTCTTTCAAGAATAGTGCAGTCTTTCTCCCCACATTGGGATGGTTATATTCATGAAAGGCTAGAATAATTGAGAAAGGAAAATAAAAATTATTTCAAAATTTATACAAAAAAAAAAAATCTCCCACAAGAGTAGAACCTGCAGGGAAGAGTAAATGTATTAGTATTTCAGCCCAACCGGTGTGGCTCAGTGGATTGAGCATCATCCCATGAACTGAGAGGTCCTGGTTCAAATCCCAGTCAGGGCACATGCCCAGTTTCAGGTTTCAAGCTCAATCCCCAGTAGGGGGCGTGGAGGCAGCTGATCATTGTTTCTCCCTCATGAAGGTTTCTCTCTCTCTCTCTCTTTCTCTCTAAAAAATCAATAAAAACATTATTTTTTTAAAGTATTGCTCAGCCAGTGTGGCTCAGTGGTTGAGCGTCGACCCATGCACCAAGAGGTCACAGGTTCGATTCCTGGTCAGGGCATATGCCCAGGTTGTGGGCCAGATCCCCAGTGAGGGGCATGCAGGAGGTGGCCGATTAATGTTCTCTTTCGTCGATATTTCTATCTCTGCTTCTCCCTTCCTCTCTCTCTAACATCAATAAAGAAGAAAATAAAATAAAATAAAGTATTAGTGTTTAATAATTAACTTAAGATAACATTTTGCTTTGACCTTATTTCTGGTTAGGTTTAATAAAAGAAGTTCTTAGTCTTCATAACTACTTGCTGAGGTCTAAAAGTGAACTAACTTGATTTCCTGAAAAAGCTTCATTGTGAACCCCTAATAGTTCACATCTTCCCTGTGAATGATCCAAAGGGCCCGTGCTCTTGTCATGTTCATTTCTTAACAACTTGCACTGTCTGCCCCACCCCCACCCTTCTCTGTTTCTTCCCAGACTCACTAATCATAACATAATCCTCAGGGAAGAATCTGAGAGACATTGAAAGTACTGAGGGAAAAAATTAGGTAAAAAGATCATCTGATATTTAATTCAATGTATTATCCATTTAAAAATCTGAATTTGAAAATTGAACTTTACAGATGTTAGTGATCTCTGACAACTCGTGATAAAATGGTGATTTTTCTTTTAAAACGGATCAGTTTCTACTCATTTGCTTAATTTGGGGGGCCCAGCAAGCCCCAATACTGTACTCTTTTTTCTCTGAGTTGCTTAATGCAAAATAGATAAAATGAGTAATGTTTAAGAATTCCTGTGCTGCCCTTGGCCTAATCAGCATGGTTTCTCCTTTAATGTGCTATATGTAAAATTGGGGGAGTTTAAAAACTTAACCAAATTGCTGCCAGATACTTTTTGGTATTCAGAATTTTTCAGAGTTTAGGAAAATCATAGTGTATGTACCTCACACTATGCAGTTAATTCCCTCAGTGCGTATTCAAATGCATGAAGATTCTGACAGCAAAAGCATATGAATTGTCACATTAAGTGAGATAAATTAAGACATTAAGTGGTTTCACATTAGTTCTGGTCAGAATTTGCAGCCAAGTAAGTTTGGATGAAAGAGTTTGCCACCAAGTGAGTTAAAGAAAAAAAACAAAAAACACCCTCACTTAGTTTTTAGAGCTTTGGCGATCTTCAAGTTATCAGCATTTGTGGACCTGTAAATTCTGTTTATTTACTAACCCTTCTGTAGCTGTTTGATGAATCATATTATTTCTAATTTCAAGTGGATGGATAGAAAGTGTCGCTTTTTTTCCTCATTTCCCTATGAAAGGAAACAGGGCAAACATTGGAACTGGGTTGGGGATGATTTATTTGCTTAGTGTTGCCATAAGTACAATACTTATATCTCTGTTAGATGTCACAGACCCTCTGAGACAAACTGTTGTTATTTTACAAAGGCAGCAGAGGAGTAGGTGAAATGACTCATTCTGGCTATAAAATTAGCAAGTAGCAAAATTCAAACTTAAACTCAGGTCTTTCAACTCTGGATCCCATCCTCCTTTTACCAAGTCTTGTTTTCATAAGAAAAGCTTTCCCAGAAGCTGGAAAGTAAGAGTTCAGGTGTATGCTTGTCTGGAGTTTAATGAATATATCACAGTGCCTAAAATATTTTATTAATTTGAATCGTTTAAGTTACTTTGGCAGAAATGGACTAATTATTATAAAGTTTGAAGTTTGTTTTGATTAGTTTTTAATAATTAATTTATTTTTGTTACAGGTGTTTCTCCTTTTCCCCCCATTGACACCCTCCTCCCGATCCCACTCCCTTCCCCCCCTCAGTATTGTTGTCTGTATCCATAGGTTATTTTTTAAAAGGTGTAATAATTTAAAAGTTTAAGCTAATTTCAAGTATAGACTGAATAATAAGGATTTTTTGTGTTCTCCCCTTTTTGTTTTAACTGTTCAGATGTGTCTGGCATCAGAAGGGGTAAAGATGGAAGACTCTAAGTTAATAAAAGCAAAAGAATCAGATGGCGGAAGAATGAAAGAATTGGAGAAAGGAAAGGAAGAAAGAGAAATAAAAATGGAGAAAACAAATGAAGCCAGGTTACAGAAGGAAGCAGATTTTGAAAAATCATTTAAGGAAAATGTAAAAGATTCTAAGGAATTAAGAAATTTTGAGGAGCTGCAAATGGATGATATAATGGCTATAAATATGGAAGATCCCAAAGAAACTAAAAAGGAAGAATTAGATGAAGATCAAAAATGTAGTCACTTCTCTGATTTTTCTTACTCTGCCAGTAGCAAGATAATAATAAGTGATGTTCCCAGTAGAAAGGATCACATGTGCCATTCTCACGGAATTATGATCACTGAGGATCCCACAGCATTAAACAAACCAGAAAAGCTAAAAAAGAAAAAGAAGAAAAGCAAAATGGATCGACATGGAAATGATAAATCCACACCCAAGAAGACTTGCAAAAAGAGGCAGTCCTCGGAATCCGACATCGAGAGTGTCATATACACCATTGAAGCTGTCGCAAAGGGAGACTGGGGCATTGAGAAACTTGGAGAAACCCCTCGCAAGAAGGCCCGCACATCCTCAAGTGGCAAAGGAAACATTTTGGATGCCAAGCCACCAAAGAAAAAAGTGAAATCAAGAGAGAAGAAAATGTCAAAGGAGAAATCCTCAGACACCACCAAAGAGTCAAGACCTCCAGATTTCATTAGTATTTCTGCCAGCAAGAACATTTCTGGTGAGGTGCCAGAGGGTATAAAAGCAGAACCATTGACCCCCACGGAGGATGCGTCACCACCCAGCTTACCAGGCCAGGCCAAGCCTGAGGACAATGAGTGTCACCGGAAAATAGAGATTTGTGGCTCCCGGAAATCCGAGAGGTCTTGCAAAGGTGCTCTTTATAAAACCCTGGTGTCTGAGGGCATGCTCACCTCTCTGAGAGCTAATGTTGACAGAGGTAAGTGACTTCTACAAATCTGAAAAGATGATTGAAACCTAGCAGAATTTCTCCTTTAGACCTATTGAAAAGAACCATCATAAAGAACAGTATGGTATCAAAATGATATTTTGCATTTATACGATTCTTAATGGTTTATAGATCACATAAATTTGCCGTTTTACCTACATGTTTCCTAGCACCATTGAGGAGAGTGTCTTCAGGATATAAGTGTTTAAAGTAATTCAAACCCTTTTTATTTTTTAATGGTATGGGCTGGGTTTTTGTTTTGAAGGAGCAGTATTGCATGTATGGAGCTCTTAGTTTGTTTTCTAAAACTGATAGAAAGAATTTCCTGAATCAGGCAAATATGTTTGGCTGAATCTTGACCTGTAGGATCCAGGAGCAAATGACTTAAACTGGTCCTCTCCATTAGGTAATCAAAACTGTAATTGAACTGACGGCTCTTTAAAATGTAACAGCTTCCAGAAGCCAGTTAATGTGTATACCTTTATTCCATAGAGTGTTTCATATAAATTTATCTGTTTTAAAATACAGCATCTGGCTAGGAAATTTCCTTTTGCCAAGCTAAATTCCAGCTAGAGATGTGTGAATACCAGCTAGGTCTAGCAAGCACTGAATGAAGATCCTGAGGAGTCCATAGTTCTCCAGGGATGTCATTGCAATAAATGTTAGCAAATTAGAATTAATAGTGCCCACCAGCAAAGGACTCCCACACCTTCAGCTGCATCTTGAGTAGAAAAGCCAGCAGTCATTGGTCTGTCTCTGGAGTCACACAATAGCTGTTGAGTTATAACAAGACAACTTGTCTCAGAGACTATAAGTCACTCTTGTATATGTTCTGTTATTAAGGGTGACCCATCATGAATTACTCTGAGATTGAATCATTATAAGTAGCATCATGCCCATGGTACCTAAGGGGTCAAGAGATCACTTGTGAAGCAACAAAGATGATTTCCCTCCCATCCCAGTATACCGAGCACCTCCTTTCTCTTGAATTTCCTTAGGGAAACGAAGCTCAGGAAAAGGAAACTCCTCCGATCATGAAGGGTGTTGGAATGAAGAAAGCTGGACGTTTAACCCGAGTGGGACCAGTGGGAGCAAGAAGTTCAAGAAGACAAAGCCAAAGGAAGACTCTCTCCTTGGGTGAGTGCATGGTCAGGCGCTCCGCACAGCTCCCATGGTGGTAGGATTTTCAAGGCAAACAAAAATCTCTAACTGCCTGTCCATTGGGTATCCACTCAGCACTTACTACAGTTTCAGTGAACACATGAGGGAATACAAATCATGTGTGTCACATGGTCCCTGCTGTTAACACGGTTGTGAGAGTGACAGTGTCATTCACATTTTAAGTGTCAGACTTAGGCCCGAGTTTGAATTGAGGTCCACTATCAGTAATGTGACATTGTAAATCTTTTAATATCACCAGGACACATTTTCTCACCTGAAGTTTACAGTGGGTATTTAGATAAGTATGTTTACTTTTTACATACCATATATATTTTATTTAATGTTTCTAGGCATGTACATATGTTTGTAAAAAAAATAACACTGAAAATATAGGTAAATAAAATTATGTTTCTCCTTTTAACCTTGTTTTGTTTAAACCATTTCCTGCTGCTCTAAGATAAAAATAATAGATTGAATATTCTCTGTACCACAGAATGTTCAGCAATTAATTATATATTGAAATGCAGTGTCAAGCAATAGCATACATCAAGATAAAATCATTAAGAATTATTTCATTTTTATGTTATGCCAAAGACTCTAATACCAATCTTAATATAAAGCATTTTGAAAGTTAAGTTATGAGATCCAATACTTTATATTGGTGAGGAAAGCATCTGAATATTCAGTTGTACTGTTTAGAAAATCCTTTGAAATTTCTCTTAGTCCACTTTGAAAAGAATACACTAAATAGAAATAAATACATTTTTTATATTTTCCATATTTGTTCATAAATGTGTTTAAAGGTATGCAAATTTTATGCATTGGGAATATTATGTTTGGCTTATTCATAAATATTTGCATTTCTATTTGTGGAATAATGTATTTTTTTCTTGGATGTTACAGTGTTTCAGAGTCTGGTTAATTCTAAGTCTCTAGGGCATCACAAAGTGTGAGACTGGAAATTATTTCTTATGATGATGATGCCTTAAGATTATTTATATCGAGATTGATATAGTTATAATTTTATATATCTCCTTTCTAATATTTTTTAAAGTAGTTCAAATTAGTTTTGCTTATATTATGCTTCAACAATGACATGAAAATCTTTACATTTGTCATTGTCAAATGATACTTTTCAAATGAAGTATTTCATTAAAAAGTGACCTTTGAGCTCAGGACCAATGCTTTATTTTATAACTTCTGAAGCTACCTGTGCTCTGTATGCCTACCCGGCAAGAGAGGGGAGCACTGCAAACAGTGCTGGGGGAGCACAGTAGGCATGCAGGTTCCCCCGCAGGACGCTCTCCAGTGCTTCCAGGAGATACTGTGGAGGCTGTGAGGTGTCTTCACCAGACCTCTGTGAGGAACAAGACAAGTGAAACAGTCTTTTGACAATCTGTCCCTACAAAGAGCACGCTGTGTGGGTTGGTTTTTTTGTTTGTTTTAAATTATTTCTAAGAAAGCCACATATATATGTGCACAAGTGGATTGAGCATTATCCCATAGACTGAGAGGTCCTGGTTCAATTCTCCAGTTAGGGCACATGCCTGGGTTGCAGGCAGGGTAGGGGGATGGGAGGCAGTCGATCATTGTTTCTCTCTCACATCGATGTTTCTCTCTCTCCCTTTCTCTGTCTCTAATATATATTATATATAGGGAGTGTGGTTTTTCTACAGGCTGAAATAAACAGTAAACTTCTCACCGTTCCTCCTATCTCTCCTTAAATAAGCCTGTCAGAATCAGACTCTCAGGGTTTGCCTTGTTAAGAACACACCAACATAGTGCATGAGCAGTAAGAAATGCCGTGTCCCGTCAGTCTTACTTGAGATTTCTAAATGAGCATTTTAAACATTTTTATCACATAAAGTGTGCTACCTGCTTAGTTAATTGTAGCCAAGAAAAATTCATTCAGTATTGGCAGTTCTAATTTTATAGACTTATCCAAGAAAAACATAGGTAATTATTCCAGTTGGGAAAAGAAAAATTAGAGTCCCAAGACACCTTAGGAGTTACATCTCGTGTTTCATATTTTTGCCTTGCTTATGGAACTGAAAAATTCACGTCTTACACAGATAGCTTTCTGATACATCTAATTAGTACCAGATAGTATCTGATTTTTCCATTAGTATAAGCATGTTTTTAACTGAGCATGAAAGGGAGAAACATCACCGCCACCCTTTGCGGCTTTGATAGAACTTGGTAGTGGCCTTTTTCTGTTGACAATTCTGATGGAATGTACTCTTGTACATTCCCCCCAAAACAAGAACAGTTTTAGGTGGACACATCTCAAGGATATCACACAGGGAGCAGCTTTCTTGTAAGTTGGCTACGCAAAGCTGCTCCCTTCCCAGTGTGCCTTCCATTTTCATCTACCGAGCAGAGCACAGAGATTCTGCAGCTCCTCCCGTCTGCGTGGGCTGCACCTTAGTTAATAAGTCTGGCTGTGAGTGAAAGCAAGCAGCCAGTCCAGGACCAGCAGGCATGCTGCCATTGCTGGGGGCAGGGGGCGGGGGGCGGGGGGGGGGGGGGGGAATGCAGACCGTAAAAAGCAGCCCAGGGATTTCCCAGCTTGGTTGGTGGCATTTCTGAAGTCCTTTGTGGTGAGAGTTAGAGCGGTGTTGCCTTTCTGCCAGTTCATTGAAAACTGGCTTCACTTTTCTTTTTTTTTTTTTATCCTCACCCGAGGATATTTTTCCATTTTTTGTACAGATAGAGTGGGAGGGGGAGAGAGGAAGGGAGACAGAGAGAGAAACATCGACGTGAAGGGACACATCGAGTGGCTGCCACCCGCACGACCAACCAGGGCTGGGGACAAACTGCAACCGAAGTACGTGCCCTTAGCGGGAACCGAACCCGGGTCTCTCCGGACCGCAGGCCGACGCTCTAACCGCTGAGCCAAACTGGCCAGGGCTAAAAAAATTTTTTTTTTTTTTATCCTCACCCGAGGACATTTTTCCATTTTTTGTTCAGGTAGAGTGGGGGAGAGAGAGAGGAACAGAGAGAGAGAGAAACATCGATGTGAAAGGGACACATCGAGTGGCTGCCACCCGCACAACCGACCAGGGCCGGGGACAAACTGCAACCGAGGTACGTGCCCCTAGCGGGAACCGAACCGGGGTCTCTCCGGACCGCAGGCCGACGCTCTAACCGCTGAGCCAAACCGGCCAGGGCTGGCTTCACTTTTCTTACGGAGAGTTTATCCTCATCCTGGTCAACTCTCCAGAATGCTTTCTAATATTCGAAATATTTGTTTGCATTTGCTTTGTGTATGTTTCAAAGTACTTGTCAATAAATATTTTTTAAAAAACCAATCTTACAAAATTACCAATATACTATATTACCAGTAAGCTTGCCAGTATAGGTACATATATATGAATCTTTAGAATGAGATATTTGTCTGGATGGAATATGCTTTATATTGAATTTAATGAAAAATCCCCATGCCAATGGAGAGAATGGCAAATTCTCCACTTCAAAAATATTCAATATCTTAAATAATGTTTCAGCTTTTCCAGACTAATAAGGTACTCTGTTCTGTGAGTTTACTAAGAAAACTGTGTTGATAAATATTCTTGAGATTTTCTGAAAAGATGTTTTGTCCTTACATAGAATTTATTAACAATTCTCAGGGACCCTGTTTTCAAAAGAAATATCTTAAAATATATCCTGTATTATTTTCTGTTTATTTATACATCATGTGCTGATTCATTACATCCCTTCTCTTTTATTAGCTCGGCAAAGCTGGATGAAGAATTTGAAAAAAAATTCAACAGCCTCCCTCAATATTGTCCTGTTACATTTGACCGGAAATGTGTACCTGTCCCAAGAAAAAAGAAGAAGACTGGAAATGTGTCCTCAGAACCGACTAAAACCAGCAAAGGTCAGATGTGTGCTCGGTCTCCCTGCAGTGTACGCAGAATCTCAGTCGAACCCTCTTCTGAGCTTCTGCAGCTCTCAGTAGATGTGACTGGGCTGTGATTGAGGCAGTAGCAAGTTGGATGGTCGTCAGGTTGTCTTCCTAGATTACATTGGTTCCTGCCTCACTGCTTTCTTCCTTCCCTTCCTGCTTGTCAGCCTCTGTCCTTTGGCATCTCAACCATTCGCCCTTAAAAGTGTAGGCTCTTGAAAGTGTGACACATGGTCTCCGACCTTCTGCTGTCCAGAATTCTGATTTGGAAACATAGAACTTTTCTTGAGCAGAAAATGCTGGCCGAGTCTAATTCTTCTGTTCCCTGGATCTGCAACAGGTTGGACCCCGGGGCTCTGAAATTGTTCCGTTTGCCTGATAAGCAGACTTCATTCTTATCTGGCAGTATAAACCAAATGAAAATTCCCTGTAATCCTCTGGCAGTATTTTTTATTGGTTTTGTTACATTTAGAAAAATGCTTTATTCAGCATATTCATTTTCAAGACTATCATTCTCTTCTGTGTATGTCAGGAAGCTTTTAAAATTATCACGACTTGGGTGGAAGACAGCATTCATCAAAGGTAACATGGCCATTCAAAGCAGGGCTTGAAAGAATGTGGGGAGTTTTCAGTGGTCTCAACACCTCATACCACTGTTGTATTTATGAGCAGGGGCTTAGCAGCATCCTAACCTGCTAAGGATATTCAAGCACAATGAAGGATCTTCCTACCCAAACTGACAATGTTGCTCAGCTTGGGGAACACCTCTTCTAATTTTACTTTAGGTCTAAAGATTGGTGGAGGAAACGCACCGCTACTTTTCCACACAGGTGTGAGGTTTCACTTGGTTAACTCTCCTGTAGGACAGTGGACGGTGGGATGGAGAATGTGTGGCTGAGCTTTAATTACTTTCAGGATCAAGTTCTGAGCATGGTTTGATGGAAAAGTTCTTGTAACTACCCTGCAGAAGTTGCTGCCTGTTGCCTGCTTTATGTCAAATTAGGTTCATTCCCTTCTTTCGTGTATTTTAGATGGATGAATGGTTATGGTACGAAACATATCTTTATGTAAATCCTACTAAATTCTTGCAGTCATGAGTAATGATCAAAGATTAATGAGGTGATACAATTTCATGGATTTTGAGAGGCTATCTAATGTGTGTGTCTAAGGAAAATGATGGTTTCTTCTCTGAAGAAACCTGAACCTTTCTTTATCCCTCAGTACCTAAAACCCCCTTGCGCACTGGTATTTGTGTGACTGAGGGGGGATGCTTTGCGATCTGTATCTTCAAATGGCTGTGAAAGGCTACAGAAAATCCCCCCTTTGTGGTTAAAGGCAGAGGGGAACATAAAAGTGACTTTAGTTATCCTCTGTATTTAATAAACACAAGTCTAGTGAATACAGAACTAAAAAAGAAATGTTGCATTATCAAGTTTTCTCATCTAGGAAAATAAAATAGGGTTGTATCGTGATCTTTCAAGATAGGTAGGAACAAAATCAAGGAGCCATGTTGACAAGTAAGCAGCCGAGCACGGTAATGGATTGATTGCCAAATGCAATGACAGTTGTCTTCGTGCCCTAGAACTGTTTAGGAATAGGCACAGTAGTCCATGAGTCCGAAGATGCCAGGTATCTTGAGCTCCCATAATTCTTGGATACAAAGTCTCTGATAAATAAATACCTCACAAGCCAATAAAATGGAACTTGATTGATGCGCAGGATGTATTCTCTTCCTCTCACTCCTTGTCCTCGGAGACATTCATTTTAGAGCTCTGAAGATGGCCGATTACCTATCAGGAAATGGAACAATAGATTTATTTTTGTAAAGCTATAAAACCCCCTGAAGTTAGGATCTGTTTTCATGAGACCTTCTCTTAGTTGTCTGTTGTATGTTTTTTCTCTCCCAGCTGAGATTAACAGTATTTCTTTTGATGTGAAATAGCTTTTTGGAGGTTTGGATTATACTCGATACTCTTCTGTTGTGCCTCTGAAGCCACAAAGTTGCTGGTCTTACACAGGCTCTGAGTGATGGTGTAGGTGGGAGCCTTTCGAGGCTTCAGAGTTTGCTCTGCATTCCAACTCGTAGAGCAAACTGCAGTCCTAATAAAGCAGAGATTAAATAATATATTCTCTGTTCAGCAAACTAAAGAAATGGTATTTGTGACTGATTACAATTTGGAATTAGCAGCGCCAATGTACTGTCTACAAGTTGTTAATGAAATTATCATACCAGCTGTGCTGTAATTACCTGATCTTTAGAGGAGAGAGTAGATTGTTTTCTTAGACTCCAGACCCTTTGCACCTTTGCATAATGAAGCCTTCAAAGCAAAACTTTGTGAATGAGACCAATAGTTCATTAGTAAAAGGACATGTGTTTATAGGAAACCTCATTTTTCTTTCCAACAATTCACTATTTGTCTATATTTTATTTTCTCCTACATTTATCATTAAAAATTAATTTTTCTTTCTGCCTTATACTAGGTACTTATTTAGGTTATAGGAAGTGTAAAGAATCTTTCTGAAATGTAATTTCTAGAGGAAATGATTATGGGTGCATTTATATAGTAATACATCTCAGAATCACAATACCTGCTTGGGTTTACACCTCTGTTTCCCAATGGGCTTCTTATTTATATCTATACTTCCAAGTAGTCTCTTCCACTTTCCACTGTTCCCTCCACTCTCTGTCCTGTCCCTTATCCCTGAGAAATTCCAAAACAAAAAAGGATGAAAATAACTAAATGACACCTTCTCTGACGGCTCAGAGTACATTATAGTTGGCGCAGCACAGTGACTTAGAAACAGAATTCCCCTTTGCTTCTAAGAACAAGTTATAATCCGTCTGACTCAGTGCGGTTCAGCTGAAGCAGCCCCATGACATGTTTTCTGGTTTCTCTCTCACACTCACTTGTATATATTCAAATGAAAGCTTTAAATTATAAGTCTAAATTTAATTGTAACGTCTCAAGAGATTTCTTTTGACACATTATTTTAAGTATACTGTTAATGTACGAAGCACTTTTTACAAAAGTGTCAGAAGTCAAGAGTACTCTGCAAAAATAAGTAATTTTCAAATGACATAGGGTCATGGAAAAAAAGTTAATTGAGTTCAATTTAGAGTGTTTAAATCACGCCCCAGTTTGGCCCTTGACTTTGCTTTTCCTCTTTTACTTCTTCTGTCTCCTCACATTGTTTCTTAGCTCGTCAAACATACTGCTGCTCTTTCTCATGTTTTTCTTAACATTCACACGTGTATGTTAAGATCAGAATTTCAAATGGTTAAGTGTTGAGATTTTAATAAAAGAAGCAGATTTATAAAATTAAAGGTTGAGGATAGAATCCCCTGCCTGAGGTTGGGCCAACCTGGGGATGCTCTCAGTGTTAAGGAACTCGAAGATGTTTTAGCCAGACCAGCCTTTCCTGCCAGGAAGCGACGGTTTCCAGGTAGGGCAGAACTCTGTATGTTGTCTGAAAACTGTGTGAGAGTCTTCATCGCCACAGACATTTTCAGGAACATGGTGACAGCACATTTGCAGGTGTTGAAGGTATACCTCATATAATCCTGAGTTCTTAGCAAGGCACGTGTGTCTGGCCAACCAGGCGGTTCAGCCCCTCGGTGAGTTCTAACTCGATTATGGCTGGTTTACTCAAACTTACTCAAGTCAGCAGATCCACATGACCAGCAGCAGGGGCACTTGGCTGTAAATGATCACAAATTTACTGTTTCATTAGTTATTCATTACCTGTGTGTTCATTACAGAAATGACAACCTAGTTTTAGAATAAAACCACTGCTCTTTTATAGCTTGAAAACATGAAACTGTGGAACCTGGGCAGAAGCCATCACCAACACCTAACATTTGTTTCCAGTGACAGTTCTAAAGAATAAGGTGCACTCTGTCCACCTCACCTCTGACCTTGGAGAATGGTTATGCCTGGCTAACTGGCTTCTGAGCCACTAAAGTGCCTCACCCCAAAAATGTCTCTTTTTCAGCAAACCATGAACAACATTAATGTTTGGAAAGGTTGTTACTGTTAGTGTCCCTACGGCACCCCTCTTACCCTGTCAGATCGTTTGTCTCCACTGTTTTCTACCCGCGGTGAAGTTGGTGTGCAAAGGAGAGATTGGTACCTTCAAATACAGGCCCTCCTGCCCAGAAACTTAAAGCAGAGTCCTAAGCTACTTTACATGCCAGGAAAAGGTGATTTTGTCATAAGCCGAGTGAAAGACACTTGCTAGTTTTCTGCTTTCTGAATAATTCCTTCTAAAACCCTTCTCTGCTGTTCACATCCCACCCTCTTTCCCTGCATGGAGTCTCAACATTTATAATTAAGGGGAAAAAATAGTGCATTTCTGTATGTTTGCTATTTATCACAAAGTTTGACTTTATTTTCTTTAGGCAAAATATCAAACATATGTACCATACTAGTGGGCAGAAATCAAGTTGTTCATTTCTTGACTCTAACATTGCTGCTTTTCAATTACTTATTCTACTTTGTCACTTTATTTTTTATCTGAAGTTGTCCTTAGATCTGTTTTATAGCTATGGTCTAGGACAGCTAGGAGCAAGGAAATTTAAAAATAAAAATTTACAGTGGCTCATCTGTGTACTCAACCATTCTGGTTGTTCTTTTTTCATGTTAAAATTAACAAGCTCCCTCTTTAGCTTTGTCCTTAAATTGTACTTTTTAGATTTCTCTGAGTATGGCTGGATCTGAAATATGTGTCCTTTTCTTCTTTATCGTAACCCATTTCACAGTGACATCACTTTGCTTCTGTGAATCACTGCCTTATCCCATTGTCCTCATACAAATACACAGTGATGAATATAGAAATCATTCTCCCTGGGAGCCAGTTCCTTATTATTATTAAATTATTTTCCTACAGGTAAATCACTAGGATCCTTATGGTCCTGAGAAGTCTCAGAATGGTTCTTCTTTTTACTCTGATTGCCCATGTATCTGTCATTCAGG